TTCAGCGCTGCAGCGCTTCATATTCAGCGCACGCAGCGCTTCATGTTCATATAAATCCGAAGGCAGCGCTGCAGCGCTTCTCATATTTAAAGCAAAAATCCAGGACACCGACTCCAAATCAAAATGCAAAATTTGTAGCGCTGCAGCGCTCAACGAACAAACTCAGCTCTTTCAAGACGTGGATTTACCTTTTTTCCCTGTGCATGGCCCTTGGATAACAAGTGCAATGTAACCGCTAAGTCACTTATAATCTACTTAGCAAACTAGCTATAAGTGGTTATAAGTGGTTAGCTAAGTGCGCTAAGCACTTAGCGAACTGGTTATAAGTGGATAGCTAAGTACTTACTAAGTCATTACTAAATGGGCCACTTAGTAATGACTGAGTAAGTACTTAGCTAAGTCCGCTAACTACTTACTAAGTACTTAACTTAGCGTAGTAAGTATGTTAAGTACTTAGCAACCGCCGCGGCCATCCAAGCACCCCCCCTCCCAAGGGGGGGGTTCAACCCTTCCCCCCCCTTTCCCCCTCCCAGAGGGGGGAGGGGTTTCAATCCCCCCCCCTTTCGGCGCCGGCGCCGGCGCTGGCGGCCGCCAGCAGCGCCCGCGGCGGGGACGCAGCGACGATGACCAGAGGCAGCCCAAGGGGGGGGGTTTGAACCCCCGCCCGTGGCGCCAGGGCGGGGCGGGGTTCAGCTCCCCCCCCTCCGGCCGGCGCCGGCGCTGGCGGCGGCCAGCAGCGCTGGCGCTGGAGCGCTGGCGCCGGCGACGGCGGGGACGCAGCGACACTTACCACACCTACTACCACCACCACCACCACAAACAGCACCACACAACCACCACCACCACCACAGCCACCACCACCACAACCAAAAACACAATTCAGCATCACCACCGCCACCACAAAAACCCACCACCATTACCACCACCACCACCACCACAACAAACCGCCACAAACCACCACACCACCACCACAACCGCCACAACCACCACCACTACCAGCAGCACAACCCACCACCACCACCACAAACCACCACATCACCACCACCATCAACACCGCCACCACCACCACCACAACAAACGTCCACAAACCACCGCCACCACGATAACCCACCACCACCACAAACCACCACCACACCACCACCACCACACCACCACAACCACCACCCTCACAAGTCACCATAACCACCACCACCACCACAAACCACCACTACTACCACCACCACCACAATCTACCACAACATCACCACCACCGCCACAACCACCACCACTACCAGCAGCACAACCCACCACCACCACCACAAACCACCACAAACCACCACACCACCACCACCACCCCCACCACCACCACAAGCACCACCTCCACAAAACCACCGCCACAACCACAACCCACCACCACCACCACCAAAAACCCACCACCACACCACCACCAAACCACCACCACCACAAGCAGCACCACACAACCACTACCACCACCACAGCCACCACCACCACAACCAAAAACACAATTCACCATCACCAACCACCACACCACAAAAACTCACCACCACTACCACTACCACCACCACCACCACCACCACAATCTACCACACCAACACCACCACCGCCACAACCACCACCACTACCAGCAGCCCAACCCACCACCACCACAAAACACCACATCACCACCACCACCACCACGACCGCCACCACCACCACCACAACAAACGTCCACAAACCACAGCCGCCACGACAACCCACCACCACCACCACAACAAACCACCACCACACCACCACCACCACACCACCACAACCACCACCACCACAACTCACCATCACCACCACCACCACGAACCACCACCACTACCACCACCACAATCTACCACAACACCACCACCACCGCCACAACCTCCACCACTACCAGCAGCATGACCACCACCACCACACCACAAACCACCACACCACCACCACTACTACCGCCACCACCACCACCACCAGCACCACCTTCACAAACCACCGCCACAACCACAACCCACCACCACCACCACAAACCACCACCACACCACCACCAAACCACCACCGCCACCACCACTACAACCCACCACCACCACCACAAAACACCACCACCACACCACCACCACCATCACCCACCGCCACAACCACCACCACCACCACCACCACAAACCACCACACCACCACCACAACCACCACCACCGCCACCACCACCACCACATCCACCACCACCACCGCCGTCGTCGTCGACGCTTCCCGCCACCGCCGCCTGCCGCCGCAGGCGCTGGCGCCGGCCCAGAAATGGAAATCGTCGTCCCCGCCGCCGTCTCCAGCCGCCGCCGACACAAGCGCCGGCCCGAGGAGAGAGGAAGCAGAGAAGGGAGGGGGGGGGGTTCGACCCCCCCCGCCCCCCCTCCATGGGGGGGGAGGTCCAGTTTCCCCCCCCCCCCTTCCAAGCGACCACAAAACGCGCTCTTTCCGAACTCCGAAAGGAAACCACACGATGACCTGCTGGCACGTGCCGAAAAGATGGCCCAAGCGGCCCCTCTGGCCAGCCTGGTCACAATGACTGCTTCTGTCGAGCCCGCCGGGCGCGACCCGAAGCAGCCGCGAATCGAGCACTGCACCATCCTGCTGCCCGCTGGACGCCTGGCTGGCGCGAGCTCGCGCCCGGCTTCTCGCGCAGGCGCCTGTCTGGCGCACAGCTACCAGATGGTCGCGCGCGGCGGGCCAGGGGCACCCGAGGAAAAAAAAACCAGCCGACCAGCCCGCGGGTTCCAACCAGGGGCCCGGCCGCCCCAGGGAGCCTGTCGCGGGCGTCCCCTCGCGCTGCGTCGCACCGTGTGCGCAGCACTCTGGCTTCCTTTCCCCCCCCGCCCCCGGGGCCTAGCGGCCCAGGCCCGTGCCATGACAAAGGGGCCCTGGGACACGCAAGTGAATACACACCAATCCCAGGCCCCCCCCATATTTTCTTGTGTTTTCTGGGTTTTCGTCTTCCCCCCCATTGTCCATAGTTTCCCATGTTTTCCTGGGAACCGACGATTCAGTGTGTCTGTGTTTCTTCCCCTCCTGACGTTACAGGCAGCCCTGAGCCGGATTGGGGGTGGACAGAGTCCGGTTCACAGGGCGGCGGGCGGTTCGTGTCGCGGCGGCGGCCTCCGCGGTACGCTCCTTGCCTTGTGGTCAGACGGCGTGTCGCTGTGCTGCTTGGGACGGGGGGTTGGGACAAGTTCGGAACCGGACGTGCTCAGCGTGTCGGGCTGGAGCGTGGTGCGCCAGAACTGGCGGCGAGACACGGGCAGCAGACGTTCCTGACCGTATACCTATCCACTGCACCAGGCCTGGCACACCCTAGACGTGGCGGGCGCGAGCCCGCAGAAACTGCGGCCGCAACGCTCTCTCGAGAACAGAAAAAGGGGCCATTCGCCAATCGACTTGGCAAGATGAAAGGAGTCTTACCAACCTCCGATCGTAATACACCCCGCCGCTGCGCTCTCGCCAGCAGCTCCGTGGGTTCAGGCTGATGTCCTAGAACCTCACCGTCGCCTCCCCTCCATCCAAGCGCGCCCGCGCTTCGCCATTCCGTCCTCCGCCTGGGCCTTCAACCGTGGATGGGCACGCACGCCCGAGAACTATGGCTACGGGAAGCAATGGGTACGATGCCCAACAGCAAGGGTTGTCCAAACCCGACAGGGGTCGCTGCTTGGCCGGCGACTCCTTGGCCTCGAGCGGACAACGCCCACAGCGACACCAGCAGCGAGTGCCTGTCGGAGTGGGAAGGAACTGCTGTCGGTCTGCGCCCCGACCCTTGCCGTGCCCATGCCGTCGGAGCAGAGAGGGGTCGGAGGATCGCGCCGCATCGGCGATGCGCACGGGCCGCCCTCCTGCGGCAGGCGCACGAGGGCAGGCCTGCGCCTGCCTCGCGGTGCCCGCTCCGACCCCGAGCGCGAAGGGGCTCGCCGGCACGATCGGGGCCGTCCTGGGCAACGTCTTTGCCGTCGGCGGGGGCACGCTGGGGCAATGCTTAAGTCGGGCATGTCCCTCTACAGGAGGAGTATTCAAGAATAGTCAAAGCATGGTCTGGTGACGACTTTCCGTTCTCTTCGATGATTTCTTGAGTGTATGTTTAACTTGACTTCAAACTTCCGCCTGTAGGAGGACATGCACGACCTAAGGCAAGGCAGTCGTTCGTCAAGGCAGTCGCTCGGCGGCGGGGGAAGGAGGGCCATGCGAGACATCGTCGGCCCATCCCTGGCGTTTTTTTTGCAGACCGCCGGGGCTAGATTTCGGTCGGGCGGGTCTTCCTACAGGCGGATTTCGGAAAAAAATAAAAAAAGTCCAAACTCATCAAACATAGCAAAAAACACGAGCAGTCGTCACCAGTCTTCCTCCTGTAGAAGGACATGCCCGACTTCAGGCTAGGTCCGCCACGGAAGACGGGACAAGATGGGCCCTGGGACAGATTTCAGCGGGAGGAACCGCCGTTGTCTCAATCCGCCCTCCCCCGACCCCAGGCAAGGTTGCCCTCTGGAGCGGGGCCTCACGGGGACACTGAAAGGGGGGCAAGCCCAAGCGCGCAAACCGCTGCTACCGCACCGAGCTCGGCGATCGGGGGGCCATACCCACACTGGGCCCGTACCAGAGGTCACTCTGGTGAGCGTGCAGGCGGGCCGTCAGCTCGGGCGTGGCTGGTTCTGCCCGGCAGGGGCCGCCCACAGTGCGCAGTGCGAGCGCGGCGCTGGCCGCTTCCTCTCTTCGATCTGGGCACGGCCTCTCGCTCTCTGGCGGGCGGGGTGTCCGCCGCCATTGCCGGCCAGCCCGCGGCCAGCTGACGCGCATGCTGCGAGGGCACTGGGAGGGTGACGACGCCGAGGGTGCTGGCTGCGGTGGTGGTGACGATGACGCCGGTGGCAGCAGCGGTGATGACCGTGCTGAGGGCACCGCGGCCGTGCTGAGGGCACCGGTGACGTCGGCGGCGGCGGCGGGGGACAACGACGGGGCGCGCTGCCTCGATGGCTCCTTTGCTGCGCCCAGCCCTCCCTGCTGCGCGCCCTGTCATTCCGAAGGGCGAGAGGCGGGCGGGGAGCAGGAGCGGCTGGGGCGCCTGTCACGGGCGTGGGGCCAGCCTGCGGCGGTCGCCGCGGGGCGCGCTAATTCATGCTGGGTGGGCGCCGTGCTTCTCCAGCGGGGCGGCACTGTACAAAAAACAAGACAAGAGGGGGGGTAAGTCAAGCACCAGGGGAGACAATTTTCCTGCAGCGGTGAATCAAGCACGCGTTCAGTGCCTGGAGTGGTCCAGACAAGCCCGCGGTCAGGAGGAAAGAGGCGGGGAGGAGAAGGAGGAGATGGAGGAGGAGGAGGGGGAGGAGGAGGACGGGGAGAACTGAGGAGGAAAAAGCGGAGGAGGAAAGGCTGTAGCTATCATGCATGATTCCTCCGGTTGGAACCTGGGCGAAGATGTACAGCCTCTACATATGGCTTCGAAGTTTGCATGCAACGCATGCTGAGATCACGGTGGAGGATGGGAGTGCGCAGCGCGAACGCAGCGAAATACAGATCCTAGAGGTCTGGCGGAGGCCTTTGGGACACCGGGTTTGGCAGGCGAGGGTTGGCCTCGTCTCATCTAGGACTGCGTCATGGTCTGGTCTTTGGGAGGTCTTTGGGAAGAAGTCCTGGCCCCACGCCCAAATAAGCGAAATGGGCCGAGGTATCGATGACATCCTCCTCGTCCTCCTCCTCCTCCTCGTGGTTCCTGGTTTCTGGTGGCTGCAAGGTTCGCCGAACGTAGCCTCCAACCCATCCTCCTCCCCTTCCCCTCCCCCTCCTCCTCCTCCTCTTCCTCCTCCTCCTCCTCTCCTCTGACACCAGGGCAATGGATGCCTTTGGCTCTGTAACATTTTGCCTAACCGACCGCCAGTCTTCCCAGCGCACGAGGACGGAGGACATGATTGCGTTACACGGTTTGCCTCCAGCGGGTTCCTCGACTCCACGAGGACGGATGACGTGCCAACATGTTTTGCAAAACGATTCGAATCTCCGTCTGACTCGCAAGCCTCTTCACCCCCTCAATAACTCTACATGCTTGATGCTATCCCCACCGTGCCCTCCCCCTCCGCCTCCGCGTACAGATGCGCATCGCATCACAGAGTATGTTTCCTCCTGCGAGTATTTTCCAGGATCGCAGCGATATGCATCTTTCATCAGCACGGGTACCCTGATATATGCTAGAGAGACGGCTACGTGGTAGCTGCCTCGACTCCTCTTACAGCCAAAGCTTCATCGCGCCACTGGTCCCCAATCAATGTTGTGCAATACCGAAGGCCTGCGACTGCTCGGGTTTGCAAGCATAATGGGTACATGTGGCGTATCGTATTGTTATTGCGTCCTCTTCCTCTCATGTGTCGTATCGCATTGTATCCTCTTCCTCCTCCGCTTCGTCCTCCACCCGTCAGCATGAACAGTAACTCGTGATCGTCGCACCACCCAGAGGGTCGGCAGGGCCGTCTGGGCGTTCTGCATGGGACAACACTAACATGTATAATCCTAAAACTTGGCACTTCCTACAAGTAGACGGGCGCAAGGGGAGGTTACAATATGGCTTGGTGACAACATGGCTTGGTTCCAATGTGTAATCCTCAAGCTTGGTTGCAGTATGACTCTCGCCTCCGCGACACGCACACTCGTGCTTCACAAACTCCCCACGCTTCCGCGGATGAAGTGCCTCGATTGTTGTCTGGGCCAACGTGTGGCTCTCGCCTCGACGCCGCGCGAGTTCGCCGGAAATGTCCAAGCCGCGTCGCAGAAGAAGGGCTCCCCGTTCTCAAAATGTGGCCGTCACCATGATCGGTGAGGAGGAGGAGGAGGGGGAGGAGGAGAAGGAGGAGGAGGAAGAGGAGGAGGGGGAAGAGGATGAGGAGGTCTTCATACTTTGCGACCTCACTTCAGCGCCTCCCGCTTTCGTCGCAAACGCCTCCGGGCAGTTTTGCACGGTTGCAGTGCGGTGTCACACAAGACTGTGGCTCTCTCGCTTGGAACTCAGAATACCGCTCGGCGCGGGTGGAAAACGAGCACTTCCGTTTACGACGAATGCGCGCTGACCGAAAACGAGAACCACATATTGACAAAGATCCACCCCACATCCGTGTAACTCTTGGCGCTGTCAAGGCTCAAGAGAATCGCCCAGCCTGCCCTACCGAAACGTCGGATCGTGCGACGATGAGAGATTTATGTTGACGACGGGTGGATGTGGAGGAGGGGATCGCCTTCGATGTGTTCTCGGATTCTTCCCGTAAATTATCGTACGTTACCCTTCGAACGTACCAGACCATCGTCAGCAGCCGGTGGGTGTCTTCGGAGGTTCCAGGAAGAGGACGAAGAGCAGAAAAGGGGATAAATAGGAAGGGAGCCATGCAATCTTCGGCGAATTCGGGAATCGCATATACCGTCGTTATCCTTGAAATCAGAGCCCCAGCACAGGCTGGCGACCAGGATGCTCAGGCCTGGAGGATCATC